AATAACCTACAAAAGGATGATAAACCATAAAAAAACAATAACTTTTGCTGAGAATTAAGACTAAAAGGAATTGATAACACTTAATTGCTGCTTATTTTTGTTTGAAGAATCTTACTGTGAATCCAAGACGGTTTTTCCTATTCTGTTTTTTTTTTTTTTTAAATTTTTGCTGTTTCTAAGAAAACATTTAGATTATCATTTCACTCTCTCACTAATTAGCAATCAAATCCCATTAACTGTAGGTGACATAATTTGCAGTTACTTACAGTCAGACTAATATCCTGATCTTTATCATTACAACGTTTCAGCCATTCTGCTGCAAAAAAAAAAAACCTTCTTCAGGTGCTTCTTGTTCTGGGTAACCTTCAGGAAATTTTTAACTAAACCCTATAGGCATAAATCAGGGGTGGCCAAAGCACAGCTCACAAGCCACAGGTGGGTCATGGAAATATGTTGGCTAAGCTCCTGTTTTTCATCACAGGTAAAAGGTAAAAAAGAAACATTTCAAGCTTTATAATTATTTACTGTGTATAAACTGAGACACCATTGGATTAAAATGTAAGTTTAATGTTAATGTGTATGTAACAAAATATGTGTGTGTAAATTTTGTTTATGTCTTATGGTTCTCAAACATCTGAATTTTATCGTATGTGGCTCTTAGATTAAGCAAGCTTGGCCACCACTGGCATAGACTGTTCTTGTTCCAATATCAATGTCTAAGGGTATTTTGTCTTGTATTTCTTTAGTACTGCTCTCTCTCTGTTATTGCTCATGGAGTAACAGATATGTGGCTTGGATTGAGGAATTAAAGAGACAAGTTCATAACACTTACTTACTTTGAGTTAAAGGTATGAATCCGTCTCTTCTCCCTCTAGCAGGGCAGACTAGGTCCTACAGCTTTGGATAGTAACTGTCTAAGAGAACAACAAATCCGAATTCAAAACCTGAGTGGTCAGCTCCTCCACCAGATCCTGTTGAGCAGGGTAAGTGGAATCCCCCAGTAGCACAAAAACAAGAGCTGTTAATGGTTGAATGAGACCATCCACCCCAACTATGGGTTAAATAGCCTCACCAATTGGTCAAGTGTTGTGAATACAGCTACACCCTGAAAACAATGTTCAACCAGAGAAGGGTTCCTCCAACAGGAGTGAGAAAGATGATGTTCTACCAGGGAGGGGTTCTTGAGAAGACCTTAAATTTGTATTAGTTATTGCTTGTCCCGTTTCCACTGAGTGTATGTCTGCGCTACCAGACCCAAGGATTGAACTCAGAATTACTGTGTCACCAAATTCATAAAACCAACACTTTAATTCTCTATTCTATTCCTGCATCAGCAAACACCTGAAGGCCAGAGCACACAATGACTGAAACATTGTGAAAACATCACAGAAATTTAGACAGAAAGTCACTGCAGTTCGATAGCTCAAATGATGATAATTTCAGCTGCAATTAACGGTTTAACTATACAGAACCGTTTCTAATTAGAAAATATAATTAGCTATTAATTAACTACTTAGTTAAACTATACTAGTTATTAATTAGTAAACATCACATGAGTCGGTTGTTATTTCCACCAGTTCATACATTTACAGCAAAGACCCACCACGCAACATATACAGGATTGAATTATCCTCATTGCTTTCATATTCTGTTGTTAAGAAAAAAGTTCCAATTTGTTCTTCTTTCTGAGAATCACTATAGAACAAACTGCCAAGAGGATGCTTCCCTGATTGCTACAATCTTAACCTCTTCAAGTCTAGAGTCAACCATTATCTATTCTACATAATTTACACTTCTGCTTCTTACATTTATAGAACAACCTCATTCAGTAACCCTCTACTTTACAGTGGGTGAAAATTAGTTAAAAATTTTTTTTTTAAATTCATACCCCACAATGGTAGAGAATTTTACCATCCCCACCCAAAAGAGCTTACTTTTCCACCACCATAATGTAGCTTCCCTACATATTTAGAGATTCTTGATAAAATACAAAAAAAAAACTGCAACATTATTGGTCCTGATCTGGCATCTCATCTTCAGTCAGTAGCCACCACCGTAATGTAGCTTCCCTGTGCCTTTTCTATAAATACTTTCGTGGTAATTGTTTCGATGAACTTTCCACTATGGTATCTAGCCTTTGTGAATTTAAGTGCAGTACTAGATTTGTGACAAGGTCTCATCATTTTACAGTTGAAATGGCTAGATGTAACCGTAAGTTCTTTGCTAACAGTTTCTTCTATTGCACTTCTTGCTTCTAGAACTCTCTTCCGTCTTCTTGTTTTTGAATTTAAATACGATGTCAATCGTAATTGTCTGTTTTGTTAATTCTTCTTGTTTTATTATTCTCTCTCCTTAATAGTATTTTTCTCATATTCTCTAACACTTAGTAACCCCTTGCATCTTAGTTGCTGTATTGCCTTGCTGGGGGTGAAATTATATATATATATATATATATAAAGATTCACCCAATACGAATCTCACAGAGTGACGGAGAAGAAAGTGAAGATTATGAGGATACAGAAGATAGATTGCAATTGACCCTTGACCTGAAGAGGTTAAGATTGGAGCATTGAGGGCAGCATCCATAAGGTGGTTTTGTTCCACAGGATAGCAGTTCTCAAGGGAAAAGATGTCTGAGTGGAACATCTTTCTTATGAAAGGAATACAGAGGAAATTTGGGTGAATAGACATAGAAGGGTGAGTCCTAGCTGTAAAATAGCCTGGAAATTTCAGTGTAATATTTAAGAAATTATTTCATTGCTAGTAATCAAAGAAATAAAAAATATATTAAAAAAAAAAAAAAAGATGAAATCATTTCATCAGTATCAAAAAAGATTTCTCCTGTATTTAAGAAATTATTTCATTGGTAGTAAAAAGAAAAAAAAATCACTCCATTAGTACTATAGTGATATTTTCACACTCCTTGAACAATTAAAACTGCTTGTAATTCATACAAATATTAGAACTAAATCCAGAAGCTCTTTAGAATTAATTGACAGAGCTATTCAAGTTTTTGAATGACAATGCAAATTTGACTTGCCACTTAAAGAAAAACATTTTGATGGATATTCAGACATCTCATGGTATTAACAGTGGATTAAAATTGTTTAAGTTTTCATGCGATAGTAAATTAGTTTATTAATAATATTTAAAACTATTAAAATGAACAGGTCTAATGGTATTCATTTTTACCCATTAAACATTGGCAGAGTAGTATTTCTGCCCATAAATTTCAGTGTAGTATTTAAGAAATTATTTCATTCATAGGAAAGGAAAAAAAAAAACATTTTTCTCTTGTATTTAAGAAATTATTTCATTGGTCATAAAAAGAAAAAGGAAATTGTTTTTCTCCTGAAATAATTCCATGAAAAGATCTTCTGGAGTAGAACATGTCAGCTTCATGTGTAGATAGACAATGAAAGCAAAAATTCAAAATGGATGCCAGAAAAATTTGATCCTATTTAAATGTTTCTTGTCATCTGTTCCAGCAGAGAAAAAGAAACAAATTGGTTAGATTGAGCTGTACATTTTAACACTGATGTAAAGTCAGAGTTCCGAGCGATGATTAAAAAAAAAGAATGATTGGAATGACATAAAATGTTAAATGAACTCAAATGATACCAAAAGATGAAATTTTTTTTTTTTTTTTTTTTCATCTTACCTCCACAGCTGACACTACTAACTATGGCTACACATTGTTTAATTAAGAGGGTGGAGGTTAAAAAAAAAATAAAATAATTTGCAGTTTCTCTTGTATGAGAACAACATTTTTATAAAGTTAATGCCTGTCTTTTATATTTTTTTCTTTTCATTCCTTTTTCTGTATATCAACATTTTCTTTGTTTCAAATAACAAGCTATTATTTTTCAGTGTCACAATATCCAAATTTCATCACTTTTCTCTTCAATTAATAAATCCTGAAATTCTTTTTTTTTTTGTCCATGGCATAAGAGTCGTCTTGCATTTTTCCCACTCATCTCTCTGCTTCATTCATATAATTATTAATATAAATTTGAGGGACACCATGAAATACTGTTATTATGTCTGTATCTGTTATCCTGTCATTATTCATCACTTTCAGTGGTCAGTTTAATTTTGGCCAATGAGGTCATTTCATATTGTCCTTTGTTTACTGTATTAAGAAAGCCATGATATTCACACATGATGGATAAGGCTCCTTTGTGGTGGAATTTCATTTGAAAATTGTATAGCTTTTCTTCACTGTAATCCATCCTTCTGTCTTGATAAATCCTTTTTCAGTGAGGGGAAATAATTGTGTGATATTAAAAAATATCAATTCTTTTTGGAATATTTAGTTTTTTTTTTTTTTTTTTTCTTCTTGCTAGATTTAAAAAGATTAAAATTTTACTGTGGAAATGATATGAAATTATTTTTATCTCTCTTTAGCTCAATATGGTCACATTAATTCCCATCTGTTTTAAAGACACCAGATTATCAAGTAACATTTTTTTTTTTATGTTTATCCTACAAGGGCTAAACAGATTAAGAAAAGGATAGAAAATATTACTTGAATTTCAAATGCTTTAAAAAATTCATATATATATATATATATATATATATATATATATATATGTAGGCCTTTTTCTTTTCTTTTTTTTTTTAAACTTATTTAGAAAACAATAATTAAGAATGAAAACTTCTTTTTTATGTTCTTACATTAAAAAGATTTTAAAACCAATTCAGGCTTAAAAAATGTACTTCAAATGAGAATTTTGATATAAGGTTGATATTTCTAATCAAACTTGGCCTTAATCTTTCTATGAATATTTCCATTGAGAACCTTGCTATGATCTGAGTGACACAGGTTGCTTTGTCAAATGGAGAGGGGGAGAGATTCAAAATGAATGCCATGAGAAAAAGAGGTGTGTGTGTATATATATATATATTATAGACACATGCACGTTTTTGTAATGCATGAGGGATCAAACTGCATTTTCTCATTTCAATTCAATTACGTCTTGCAATGAAATGTGAGGATGCTATGACCTCCTTGATTCATGATCTGGGCCATCATAGTCTTCATCTTCTTTTGAGGAGATTGATGGAGTTGAGGAGTCGGGACTTGATTCTGGCAATTCTAGGATAACCATTTTCTGAAGAAGTTGAACCCATCTGCAAGAATTTCAATCAAATGACATCATTAGCAAGCTGATAACACTACTTGAAATATATTCTCTGTATAATAGAAAAATAAATACATAACATTATAATAAAATCTGCCCCTACTCAGTAGTCCCCACCCACCCATTATAAATGCAAATATTTATTCTGTAATATAAAAACACAATGGGATTTTTAGCTATCAGCCTGATCGCCCCTATTTTCTACCCACTTACTGGTTGGTACTAGAATATATTAACTGCTTCATTTACAGAGGGGTAAGACCAAAACTCCAAAAGATGTCATTTACCAAGTTAATGTATACAGACTCAAATATAAACAACCTATGTATGAACCAAATTCACTCCCATCTGGGCCTGAATCTGCTGACTGCATCCCAACCAGGAGATTGGTATGACACCCACTAGAAGATGGAAGGGTCACTTACAAAGTAAATGCTTACAGATTTGAATGACTAATATTTACTCATCCTTAAACCAAACAAAAGCTTAGTCTCAGATATGAGCAACAATATCTGCCCATCTCTAAACTAAGTAAATACTTATAGATTCAAATATAAAGGACTAATAATTTTGAAATTAAGTAATCCAATATGGATTCATATATCATAATCCAATATGGATTCATATATCATAAAATCAACCAATTCAAGCCTCTGTATTTCTAATAAGATATTCTGTTGTGATAACAAGTGGCAATAAGCAAACATGCCTTGTGTTGATATAATGGAATATTTCATTAATAAATAGGGGAGACCAGGCTGCTAATTCATTGTTTTATTTTGTGTGCTTTTTGTTAGTTTTAAACATTTTTTTCACTTTTTTAATATTTAAAAAAATCTTAATTCTTTTTTTAATTTCCCCACCTCATTATTAATATTCCTTATATATACATACATACAGTGTGCAATAGAGAAATTATCATCTAAATTATGCAAAAAATGAAAAAAAAAAAACAGACATCTCATTTTAAGATATATTTACCAAAATTATACAAAAATATCTTGAAATACTAAAGAGTAAATTTATTCAACAAAATTGCCATTCGCTTCAATCACAGCCTACAGACAACTTCAGAAACTTCTGTAACTCTTCTAGACAGTCTCTTTGTTTAAGTTGGCAAATGCTGCCATATTTCTTGCCTTCAGTTCATCTTTGGTGTAACAAAGAGTTTTGTTGGTCTCCTGCTAAACTACGTCCCACCCATAATAATCAAGGGGGTTGCAGTCTGAGGAGTTAGGTGGTCAGATATAAGGAGTAATATGTTTTCAGTTCTCCTGCTTGTGTGGCATAGCACAAAGTCCTGTTGCCAGACATAAGGGCTTCCAGCAGCCACCCTCTTAACTCAGAGCAGCACTACCTCATCAAGGCACTTGATATAAGGCCTCCATGTTGAGTCTGAGGCCTTGTGGGAAGATGATTGGAGGAAAAACATTGTGATAACTAGTGATCACTCCAAACACCTTCATAATCACCATTAGACTCATCCGACTCTTTCCGAAATCTCTGCACTGTCCTCAGATTTGATTTTAAATGTTTGCATTGGAGCTTCTGGTGCAAAAGCCAAGCAGTACAGCATGCTATTTCCAAAATGTCTGGCAGAGTGAATTGTATCCTGGTGCTCTTTTTCTCACAGATGGTGCCCAGGTGACCCGACTATACTGTGCAGTCAACAAAATCAAAAACAAACAACACGCATGTGCAAAATTAAAAATACAAATTGACGATAATTTATCCATCGCACCTTGTATAGTGATGGAATAGAAGTAGGTAAAGGTATTGTTAGGTGGTGACACTGTATCTTGACATCATAGAAATACCCAGACCTCTATTAGTTTCTAACTGGGCATGATAGTGGACCCTAGATAGATGGGACATTCCATTTATGAAATTGTGTAGACATTTGACATCACACAATCTAGAGTGTCCTGTGTATATCAAGAATGTTTAATGGAAGGCATTACTGTCCACTTTGGACAGTGTGATGGCCTCCATGCGTTCTTAATGATCATAGAACAGAAGCACTTGGCTAGAATTATGTGCAATAAATGATAAGTAACACCGACTGAATGCAGGTTGAATATTGAGCAAGTTCGTTCAGTATTGTTTAGCCTCCATGCGATATACAAACAGTAGATCCCTGGATGGTATAACAAAAATGTGAATACGAGTCAAATAAAAAAAAAAGAAAGAAATCCTTGTTAATATTACCTTTTTAGTTGTTCGTCACTCTCAGCTTTGAAGTAATAGACTTGTTGTTTGCCATGATGAAGCTTAAAGACATGTGTTCGGTCGACAAAGGTATCATTTTCATCTACCTCAGTTACTGTATAACCAGGCAACGGCATCGTAGACAAGGCACAGTTATCCTGCAAAATATGGTGGGGAGAAAATTTTTTAAAATGTGAGAGAAAATAATGCATAAGTCCTTTATCGCTATTAGGTCTAAAAGTTAGTTTAGTATTAGTAGCCTAACTCAGCAAGACCTTTTTCACAACTTGAATAGTTTTTTGGTTACTTATCTATACTTTTAAAAAGGAGTCAACCATAGTCAGGATTATCAAGTCAATGCAAATGATCCTTTCCTTAGCTCAGTAATATGTGCTTTGCCAGGGTTACATATAGTTTTGAATTCAGAGTATTCCTTCTCCTAGACTGGTTGCCACCCAAGGTTATAGAACCCAGTCTGTCTTACTATTTACCCATAACTGGGAGCATAAGAATTGAATTCATACATTTTGTAGTCTGTTTCTTCTGGCTTGTAATAAGATTCCCTAATCTGTTTCCGCCAATCAACAGAGTAGTGTAGCTTAATTCAAACAACCCAACAACACACGTCTCCTGTTTGCTACTGCAGTCGCACTTTCTGTCACCTCTTTAAGCACTTTTTATAGCTTGAGTGACAGTTCAAGTTTGCATAAGTGGAAAGAGATTCCTGTGAAAGTATCTGATTCCAAGGTTTATCTTTTTTAAATTTACACTTTCGTGAAGCTGTCATTTTCTTCTGGGGAATATTTTTACATGCGAAACATGTCCAGGATGTAAGCCATTTTCTCTAGTTTTACACCTTTCCCAAGGGTATTACCATTACTCTTTTGTTAAAGATTTATTTTCTTTTAATAATCATTTTATCCCCTAATTTTTCCAATTATTATTTGAATGTTTTTAAAGAGGGAACAACACATCCCCCACCTTTCCTAAATGATGCTAAGAATTTTTCTCAGCCTCAATACTCTATAAGCTGTCATGTCTGAAATTTGAAGAAGCCATGTCACATGACTGATTTCTAATGGTCTAATAAATATTTCTTTCAGAAAGTCTCTTACTGTTGGAGAAAAATGTGCCAATTCCTTATTGTGTTGAAGAATTACAAAAAAGTCAAACCTATTCTTTCACAGTTGCAAAATGAATTCTTCTTGCACTGAGGGTCAAGTAAGCATCGTAATTTTTTTCTTTTTTTTAAATACCATGTTCTGGAGGAATATAAGTAACTATGACTCTCTACAGATTTTTTATGAACTCAGAAAGATAGTGGAATGCTTCCTCATTGCTTTCTCTACAATTTTGAATTCAGACTTTGTTCTTATCTGCTGGCAGAAAATAAGACTGAAAACTATAATAAATTTAAAGCAGAGGTATGTAAAATTCAATAAAACATTAGATTACTTGGAATATTTTCCTAAATCTGTACAATTACTATGTACTTAAAAATTATATATATATATATAAAGGTGCTCACGTTATATTTTTCAATTATTTTTTACAGATAAAGCCCCTGTAGAACAACATTAGGTAAACATCAATCTGTTAACACATCAACAAATTAAATACTACTGATGTGTTAAAAAAATTTACGATATTTTAAACTTAAAGTAATGTTTGAAATTAGATTAATTATGCTTTAAATCAGCTAATATTCCTCAAATAGAATTTCTGAAAAGTATATTTTATTTTTGGAAGATTTTTAATAAAGAGAATTACATTCTGATAACAAGTGGCTAAAAATGGTGCTAAAATTAAAAATTTTAGCAATTTCAAAAGGAAAACTCCTTCCAATCAATTTAAATTAGTTTTGAAATACAGCAAAGTATTATTGGAAATATTAAATTTAATCTATCAGCTTGAAATTAAAACTAAAATAATAGCTGCAAGAAAAATTTTTCATTTTTTAAAATTTATTTTAAACCTTAGACATCATAAATCTATGGAGATACCTACATTTAAAAAGAGCCTAATTTCTCTTGTTACATTTTTAAAAAGACTTGTATTGATTACTGTAAAGCATCTAATCATTACAAAGTTTTTCACTCACCTGGTGTCCCTTGAAGACGTACATGACGAAAGACGTGTGCACTGCAAACCAACGCCTATACCAGTTTTTACAATTATCGGAACTGATGTGTAAGTACCCAGAAATTATGCTTGGGTCCGTTGCTTTGCACTGAAAGAAATTTTTAAAAAAAAAAAACATTTTTAAGAAAATGATTTAAAGTAAATATTTCCCCATTAAAAAAGAATTCAGGTACAGTGTGAAGAAAATATCTCCATAGCAAAAATATTAAATCTGTCTAAAAATAATATTTACCCAGAGACAAAATTATTTTTGCATATTTGAATTTTTGAAACTTACAAATTCATTATTTGATATTAGCCTTTCAATTTAATTTTTCAAAATAAAAAAGGTTGCCTTTTTTTTTTTTTTATGGTCAGATCAGACCGACTACTGGTGATATATAACCCAGTACAACCTGCCACATGGATGGGTGGTTGGCATCTAAAACAGCTCCCCTATAAGCTATTCTAGAGAGAAAGCTGGCATGTCACTCCTTCAGGACAAAAACACCAAGGTCAATAAGCTTCTTATAGAACACATATGGAACTATACTACGGAATTATGTAGCCAAGATAATAATCAAATACAGATAAATTAATTTACGGCAAGTAAATTTTTCAATTTAAAATTTTTTTTTTATATATATACATATATATATATATATATATATATATATAAAGACATTTTTATGTTTAACATTCTTTTATAGATACAAGTATTTAAGTAAATGCTCTGTTTATAATAAACAGTATTAAATAACATTTACCGCCTGAATGTCGAGAAATTTTCATAGAAAATATTCGTCCTTTGACAAGATTCGAACCTGCATCCTATACAGAACTGTCATTTACGCTGACGTGCCTTAACCAACTCGGCCACATTCAGGCCGGTAAATGTTATTTAATACTGTTTATTATAAACAGAGCATTTACTTAAATACTTGTATCTATAAAAAGAATGTTAAACATAAAATTGTCTTTAATAAATTGTCGGACTTTGTCCAATTCTTTATATATATATATATATATATATATATATATATATATTATTAAAATGGTCCAAGTGTGCTTCTTATATGTAGATTTAATAGGCCAGTTAATAAAATTTGAGGAATAAAAACCCTACAAAATGATAAAAGTATTGACAATAAAATTGATGATACATATTAAGCTTTTGACTAAATTGGAGCATGAAGAGAAAAATTTTAAAGTTGGAATTTTCAGACTTGCCTGTGTCCTTTTTCAATGAGACAAAGAATAAACAAAGAAGTGGGACTTACTCTTCCAGGCAATGTTGTTGCTGGTTAGAGGGCACCCTGTGGAAATTACACTTTCTGAGTAAACCCAAATTGCTGTTTAATTCCTCAATGTGTGATTTTATTTTGAAAATATATTTCAACTCCAATCTGCGTTCAACTTGTCGTTTGTTGAATGAAGACAGTGTGTGTAATAAATATATATATATATATATATATATATGTATATATGTGTGTATATATATATATATATATATATATATATATATGTGTATATATATATATATATATATATATTTATTTAGTTTATGGAAAACTAGGTAATCCGTATGGGTAGACCCAAGGAGGATAAAATCCAGAGAGCTCAATGTAAATCCAGAGCAAATAATTTAAATAAAAACAGACCACTTTAAGGTTCCATGTAATAAATTATTTCACCACAGCCCTTTTAAAAGAACTGTGGATCATAAGTAAAATCTGATGATCCGCAGTTCTTTTAAAAGGGCTGTGGTGAAATAATTTATTACATGGAACCTTAAAGTGGTCTGTTTTTATTTTATATATATATATATATATATATATATATATATATATATACACAAACTCTTCTATAAACGAATTGGGTTCTCTTAGTCACTGGTGTGTTTATCTAAAAATAAATATGCTTAAATTCACCTTCATCCCAGCTGTGTGCCAATGGCTTAGGGGTAGATTCTCCGACTGGTACCAATTCAGCTGGTTTTCGATCCTAGCTAGAGGCAACCGTATGTCTAGTCACACTGATGAGCTGTGATACAGCGAAACAATCTGTCTGTGGATTACTATATATATATATATATATATATATATAGTAAGGCTAGGATGGGGTCTTGAATGAGAACCTTCCTGCAGTGCATCCAGCCTTGTAAAAGCTTGCGTCAAATAATTATGACAAATTCTCTGTCATGCAAGATCCACCTTTGCTATGGGCTAGATTATACCTAGTCCTCCCTCAACAAAAAAAATATGGCTATTTGTGGATTTTTGAAATTTAAAATGTCATTTTTTGGGTATTGGCCTTTCAATTTGATTTTTCCAAATAAAACCTTTTGCTTTTTCTTTCAGTTTTATTTATCCTTTAATAATCAGAAAGAGCACTCAAGACAGTATATAACAAGAAAAAATCCAAGATTTAAATTTTCCTATCAAATTGTGAAATGAAAGTTACCCTGAACAGCCGCTCGTCAAGATCCTTTCGTACTAACATGGGTGTTCCCCCAGGACTCCATCCTTGATCTTACTCTGTTTATAATTTTCATTAATGACCTTCCTGATGACATCACCATTTACTCCTGCCTTGATACTAAGTCTGATCGGTCCAACAAGGTCAAAATGACAGCCAATGTCCAGAATAACCTGAAGTCCATGATTAACTGGGGCAACACCTCCAAAACTAAACTTTTCCCCACTAATCCTCTGAGAAAACCCTACATTACACCACCTGCACATCCAAACATACAGCACCTGGTATTCCCAAGTGGTCAACCATTTATCTACTGACCAGGCTTGATGTTGCTTAAATTCTATGACTGGATGTGAACCGGTATTTCATCAGGATATGGCCATAAGCCAGTTTTAAATTACCTGTAGGTAAAATTATATACCTGTCACAATTATTTTTTAATTGTGACAAGTATATAATTTAATGTCATATAATCAAATGGATTTTCTTTTGAGATATTTATTTTCATCTGATAAACAAAATGTTAAATGCACAAATATTTTAAAAGCCTTTAAAGACAATTTAAAAATTAAAAGGTAAAAGTGATTCTGGCATGATTACAGGTAATCAATATTTGATTAATAAGCAAAAAATTATTTTTTTGTCCGAGTTCTTGATATAAAATAATGTGACTATTCAATATATTTTAATGCTGATCATGGCTCTCCACAAATTCCTTTTCTCTACAGTTTTGAATTCATAGCCTTTCTCTTAGAGTGGCTACAACAGAAATCTTCTTTTTCTTGTATATGCTGTCTCTTTTTAGGACATAGTCATGGCTCTTCTCTACTTCCTATCTATATATTTCTCCCTTTGTTAAGGCCCCTGCCCCACTATCCATTCACAAAATCTTCTTTCTCTTATCTCTCTTGCCCTCAATATGTCCTGTAATGGTCAAGTTTCCCATGATATTTATTTTCATTGTGTGTTCAAGGACCTTGTTATTTAGCCTACAACTGGAAGAAAATATGAATTTGTGCCTTTTCCTGACAAAATTATTTTTTAATGTGGACTATGATGGAATTTGAACTCGGATTGCCAGTTCAGATGTTCATGCTGATAATCATTAGGCTACTTGCCCTTGTAATAATTAGAAAATTTGAAATTAGGGCATAATATGTAACTTGTTTTGAAATGAGCCAAATAAGGAACACAGATAATGTTTTATTAATATTTCAATGTAATATCCAATGAATCTTTGACAATGTTTAACCTTCAAGCCAACAAAAAAAAACAAAAAAAACAGTGTGTCAAAAAGTACAATTATTCACTTGACACTGCTATTACTGTATACACTTTTGACTCCCGCAGCAATATTTGTTTTAAAAAGCAATCATTAGAATTTTAATAAAACCCAAACATATGAAAGTAAATTTACACATTTTCTATATTCTTGAGAATTGGCAACAAAGATATTAAATTTCTTTATCGTGGAGTTATCATTATTTACACTATTTAAATTTGGATTATTATCCTCATCTTTGTTGGCATCACAACGTTTCAGCTGTTGTGCCCTCTGGCCTTCATCAGGTGTATATCAATCTGGGTAACCTACAGGGAATTCTGAACTGAACCCTTTATTTAATCTACGGGGGTAGACTGTTCTCATTCCACTGCCGATGTCTAGAGAAAAACTAGGCATGATATCTTTAGATAAATCTCTCATAAATTTTTAAATACAAAGATTTCCTTTCAAATTTATAAAATAGTAAATATTAAAATCTTTATAAAAGGTAAATAATATTCTGAGATGAGGTATTATGTACAGTATTTACATTAGTCGGACTATTGTCCTCAACTTTGTTGCCATATTTGTCACAACATTTTGGCCATTGTACACTCCGGCCTTCTTCAGGTGGTTGGAATTTCGAACTGAACCCTTTATTTCGCTCACCGGGGTAGACTGTTCTAGTTCCACATGCCATGTTTGATGGATGTCAGTTATCAGTTATCTCCTGTTAATTTCCCTCTGAAAGTTCTCCACTGCCAGTAAATAAATGAGTTTCAATCAGGATTTAAAAAAAGAAGCATAATTTATTTACTGACAGACCCAAAGAATGTGAGTTCAATACCCGGTTAAGGCAGTGGAGAACTTTCAGAGGGAAAATTAGCAGGAGATAACTGATAAATGACATCCATCAAGCATGGCACGTGGAACTAGAACAGTCTACCCCAGTGATCAAAATAAAGGGTTCAGTTCGAAATTCTAACCACCTGAAGAAGGTCGGAGCGTACAACGGCCGAAATGTTGTGACAAATATGGCGACAAAGATGAAGACAATAGTCCGACTAATGTAAATACTGTAAATAATATTGCGTTGTACATATTTTTATCATCTTGTAAATAAACACTGCAGGGTGAGTTTAAAGTGCAAATAGTAATAGCAGTGTCAAGGGAATAATAGGTCTTTTGACACACCATTTATTTGTAGTAACAAAGATTAGATATTTACAAGTTTTTTTGGGTTTTTTTAATATAATCTGCTTATATTTGGAGGGAAGTATTTTTAAGTTATTGGACGCTTGACTTGACAGTTTGAAAAAATTACTAATTAGCTTTTTTTTTTATTTTATAACTCAGAATTTTAAATG